AATAAATAGCAATTTTTAATTTATTATTGTGCAGGGTAAGAGGCAAAAACAGTCTAAGATGATTTTTCAATTTTAAACCTGAGTGTCAAGGAGAGCCCGAGTGTGGGAGGAGCAGATTTGAAAGGGAAAGATGCTGATTAAGCTTAGAATCTTTATTTTTGATATACTTGAAGATGGTTTGAAATACAGATCTCCACTTGTGCTGAAAAAGAGAGCCATCACTTTAGGAATCCTTTGGAGACTACTACTGAGAGAAAGGAGGACAACTTTTGGAGCATTATCTACATTTTGGGGACTGGCAGAGATATGTAATCTGGGAAATTGATACAGATGGAAGAATACAGAGAGGCAGGTAGAGAATTAGCACTGGAGTCAAATAAAAAAAACAAAATGAAACATACTGAGGCACAGTCTGAATGGATGCCAGTAGATTTCTGAAGATGACATTTAGAGTTCATCTTTGATTTCGATTTCAAACATGGCAGGAATTCTACCCTGTTACAGAATCAGTGTTACCATGATACAGGATCATGATACTATTATTTTGGGCTGATTTCTGTACTACCTGTTTTGGATTGTTTTGTGTTTGGAGTAATGACACAATCTCCACTCTTGCTACCATTAACCCCAAGGGAGTATCTGATGTTTCTCATACTCCCTTGACTGGTGTCCTTAAAACCAAGGATAAAAGGCTTTTCTAGGAACCTGCATTAGGCATAGTCAAATGCTGCTAATGGAGTATTACAGACAAGCGGGCTACAGGAAAGTCACTATATTTGGTAATGACTGCTGACCTAAATGGTGGAAAGCATTGTGAATCACTGGGGGTCCTGGGAACAGGGTGTTAAATTTTAACACCTCAGAACCTGCATTTGAGTCTTCTCTGCTATCCAAGTATGGCGTGAATGGCTGTAGGACTTCAGGGCAGTTCCCAAGTGTTGTCAGAGAAGGGGAAAGGAAACCAGCATTTACCGAATGCTTCTTACGTGTCAAACACTGTGGTAGGAAGGCCCTTGCCTGCCATCTCATTTGCCGTGACAATAAATGTGAAAGCAGAAAGCTCCTCAGATATAAGGCACGTTTATTGGAAAGAAGGCAGAGAAAAGGAAGAGCAGCTTGAGAGAGTAGATGAAAGCAAGATTTTTTTTTATTATTATTATTATACTTTAAGTTCTAGGGTACATGTGCATAACGTGCAGGTTTGTTACATATGTATACTTGTGCCATGTTGGTGTGCTGCACCCATCAACTCGTCAGCACCCATCAACTCATCCTTTACATCAGGTATAACTCCCAATGCAATCCCTCCCCCCTCCCCCCTCCCCATAATAGGCCCCAGTGTGTGATGTTCCCCTTCCGAGTTCAAGTGATTCTCATTGTTCAATTCCCACCTGTGAGTGAGAACATGCGGTGTTTGGATTTCTGTTCTTGTGATGGTTTGCTGAGAATGATGGTTTCCAGCTGCATCCTTGTCCCTACAAAGGACACGAACTCATCCTTTTTTATGGCTGCATAGTATTCCATGGTGTATATGTGCCACATTTTCTTAATCCAGTCTGTCACTGATGGAAGTTTGGGTTGATTCCAAGTCTTTGCTATTGTGAATAGTGCCACATTAAACATACGTGTGCATGTGTCTTTATAGCAGCATGATTTATAATCCTTTGGGTATATAACCAGTAATGGGATGGCTGGGTCATATGGTACTTCTAGTTCTAGATCCTTGAGGAATCGCCATACTGTTTTCCATAATGGTTGAACTAGTTTACAATCCCACCAACAGTGTAAAAGTGTTCCTATTTCTCCACATCCTCTCCAGCACCTGTTGTTTCCTGATTTTTTAATGATTGCCATTCTAACTGGTGTGAGACGGTATCTCATTGTGGTTTTGATTTGCATTTCTCTGATGGCCAGTGATGACAAGCATTTTTTCATGTGTCTGTTGGTGAAGGCAAGATTTTAAAAGCCAAATCTCAAGTGTTGCTGAAGTAATTCTGTCATAATTTTCCCAGTATTACATTGCCTGTTTCTCGTTGTCAGCTTTAGAGACTGAATGTTAAAATGGAGTTTGTACCTAGAAAGTAACTGCCTTTTCCATTATGTTTGCAAAACACTTGGTATATTTAATGTAGCCTTAAGACTTACTGGATAATTAGACTCACTAGAAAATTCACATTAATAAGAGTTAATTGTCACTATCATGATTTAAGAAATACGGGAATATAAGGAAGGGGTTAAAGTTTCTTTCTCAAGGATACACAGCCATTGATATCTGAGGAGGTATGTTAAGCCTCAAGGTCTTGCTTCAAGCTAAAACACATATTTAATATTTAAATCCCTCAAGAATTCTTCACCCTAGAAAAAGGTAACACATTAAGTTCCAAAGTCAGCTCCTTCCCTATCTTGCATATGAATGGCAAGATTGGGCAGTTAACAGTATTTTGAATTTTGGGGAAAAAACAGGTTTTGTTCAAGTCAGAGCCTCTGTTATTTCTTTTCATCCCACAATTCATGATTTGAACTCACACATATTTGATTTTTTCCCTTCCTTATTTTTTGGAAAAAAATATATCATCACCATTATGAAAAGGTTGATACTGTTTGGAGTTGGAGTTATTCCTACCAATTTTTCAAGATTCTGTAGTATCTTTCTGCCAGAATATAGAACCATGCATCATCCAGACATTTGAATGGTCCCTGATGCATATTTTGAGAAAATAGTCCTGCCATTATCTAGAATTGACTTGATATATAGGGCTCAGTTTTAAGGTTTACAGTGTGGTTTCCACTGGGAGGAACTGCATAAAACTGTGTCCAATTAGAAACGATTCACAGCTGCAATGAAGACAATTTAGTAAGACAACACAGAAAGAATGAAAGATGTTACTTGGAGTCTCAGGACCTGCCAAACACAGGATTTGAAAGAAACACAGAAAGACAAATCTTTTCCAGGTTGAGTCTGACTTACGTTCCTTTAACTGCAATCTGATGGCTTATCAGGAGACCAGCAAAGAGACTACTTAAGGTGATTTTCCTGTCTCTTTATTCCCGATCAAACACTATGCAGAGCAGGCCTCGGATACTCCTTACATAGTTCCAAACGCTTGTCAAATGTAGGATTTTGCACGGACTGAAGAGTCCTGTTTCCTAAGTAGACCTACCTTACCGGGACTGGCTGCTCATTACTGGAGGCCTCTCAAGCCAGTCACTAATGTGTTTACTTATTTCACAAACACTGTTGAACACTTACTGCATGCTTTGTGTAGGGCACACAAAGATTTTTTTTTAATGCAGTTCCTGCTCTCAAGATGTATGATATGGTTTATGGATGGCTGCCCTGAATTAATAATATAATTTGGTTAGAATTGTAGTGAAGAGGGGTATTTGAAGGCAACTAGGGATCTGAGGCAGAGGGTGATTAAAACCACCTGGGAGGGTAGGAATGGGGAATGTCAGGGAAAACTTGCCATCTAATAGGCTTGTTTAGAACCAACTAAATAAAATGAGACTTCGTGGATCTCAAGGAACTGGAACCATCAGGCTAACTTCGCTCTATATTAATGTTTGCATCAGGTTTCCAATTGGTCTGTGCTGAGGTATGTGCTATCATTTGTAAGACTCTGTCGCAGAAGGCTTTTGCATGATGTATCAATGCCAAGTCAATTTGTGGGTTTATACTTGGTATTGGAGTCTTAGCATCAGTATTCAGGAGCCCTCTGGCATAGGACATAGGAAAGTAACCTAGTTTAAAATAGTGGTTATATCAAATTCCCACTTAGCCCAGTCTGCAAACCACAGAGCTCCTGTATGGAAGCTAGCTTTGATATACACTGTTCAGCAGTTAAATAAAGGTATTATTTTTTTAAAAAAGCTCTCTCACTGCTTGCAGCCACTTGATACCAAACAGAAACTGCCTTTTCAGTTGAGACAGGCACCCTGGTGAGCATTAACTCATTCGTTTTGGAGTTCTGATATCTTCGTTGCACAGGTGCCTTGCCAAACCTATGAAAATTTTACATGTAGCTCCCAGAGCCAGCAGTGTGATTACCAAAGCCATCCGTCTTTTTTTCATGCTATAATATCTTTAATTCCTCATCCTTCCTGTCCTTCAAGTCGTACTTCAAATGCCACATCATATACCAAACTAATACATCCTTTTTCTTTCTTGTTTAGAAATAGCTGTGTATAAAGTATTATGTCCCTTTGATACACACTGAGCTCTTTAGAGATAGCATCTAAGTCATCTTTATGTTGTATCCCCTATTTCACTTAGCAGAGTACTTCATTGTTTATTGAATGAAGAAATGGATAGATCAATGATCGACAAATAAATGAATACATAGATACACAGATGACAGGAAACATGGCATGTAGCAAATGGAGGCGGCTGTCTGTTGCCTGTTATCTAAGATGGTAATATTGACCTATTCCTGTTTATTACGTGTTTACCAGCCTGGTAAACACGCATGTCAGGAAGAGAAAGTATTTGTGATTGAACCATACTTGACACATAAATGTCCTCAGCCTGAAGGGTTTGATAAATAGGAAGCATGCAAAGTTTAGCTTGAGATCGTAAAAACAATCTTTATATTTTGTACATTGAATGAAAATAGACAGAGTTTGCAAAAACTATAGCCTAGTCAGACCTGGACCAAATATGGACAGACTAAATGTTTGTATTTTTTTCATGACTTCAAAAGAGTTCAAAACAATATCCACTTTGTATTGCATGATCAAGGAACATAGTGATTATGGATTTAATATTTTTTACATTTTAAAACTAAACTAATTTTACTCAGTCTTTTGTTCCCTGCCCTCTGATTATTGTGCCTAGATAATACTTTTGACTTTAGAATATTACAAAGTCATCCCAATAGCTGTTTGAGTAGAAGTAATGGATGTAAGATCTAGTTAATAAGAATAATAAAAATACTTATATTATGTGTTGATTTTCTGATAGGTTTATTTGGGCTCTTCTTTTCTCTTTATTTTCCTCATAGTGCGGGAGTTGGCCGGACTGGTTGTTTCATCGTCATAGATGCCATGTTAGAAAGAATAAAGCATGAAAAAACTGTAGATATTTATGGCCATGTAACTTTAATGAGAGCCCAGAGGAACTACATGGTTCAAACAGAAGACCAATACATCTTTATCCATGATGCACTGTTAGAAGCAGTGACTTGTGGAAATACCGAAGTGCCAGCTAGAAACTTGTATGCCTACATTCAGAAGCTGACACAAATAGAAACAGGAGAGAATGTCACAGGAATGGAGCTCGAATTTAAGGTATGGTATTGGATGTGATGTGGTTATTCAGGAGTGAGTCATTCTGGGTTTGTCTTTGAGTCGGGGCTTTACTTTAACCTTTCAAATTTGTGAAGTACAAGATTCATTTGACCTTTCCCTCAGGTGTGTGATTCTAAAATGTATTCCTCCCCTTTTCCTCTTCTATTCTTTGCTTCCTAATAATATCTTGAGCCCTTACGTCTGCTAATTTGAGAGACTATACTTTCAGAAAATATATAGAAATCCACTAGGCTGTAGAGAGTAATTAGCTAGATATGAAAAGCAGTACAATTTGAATAGTCATTTATTTTAAGTAAACAAAAGATTTCTATCGAAAAGGGAAAGGTGGGGTACATTGCATTCAAACCACAGGTGAAATTGACTGGTGGGTTTGTCCTTTTTTTTCTATTCAACAGCGTCTAGCCAGCTCAAAAGCTCACACCTCAAGATTTATCAGTGCCAATCTTCCATGTAATAAATTCAAAAATCGCCTTGTTAATATTATGCCATATGAATCCACAAGGGTATGCCTGCAGCCTATCCGTGGAGTAGAAGGATCTGATTACATCAATGCCAGTTTTATTGATGGCTACAGGTATCTACTTTTGCTCCCCTGACTATGTGCCCTAGTTTCATAACCGGAATAAATTTCATCTTCATTCAAAGCATTTTCTTTCTGCATAGGTCATCATTTAGTCCCTTGATATTTTTTTATTATTTTGGATAGGAGTAAGAAGCAGTAGTTATGAAGTGTTTAATCTGGCCTTCTGCACTCTTCTTTCAGAAGCCAATTGGATTTGTAAGGAGTTAAAGAATCTGTTTTGTACCGTATTTCATAAATGTAATAGATTGTGTGAGACTAATTTCTAGAAAATGAAGCTGCACATCTAAGTGTTTCTTAAGTGATTTGTATGACACATGAAAATGAGCTATTAGCATTGCACTAAAATTCAAATAATAATGGTAAAGACATACATCATAATATTAACAAGCAATTTATTTTGCAAGGTCCCGAAAATGTATTAAATGCTCTCATTTGATTGTGTAATCTTAGCAGGAATTTACCGCAATTGCATTAATAATATGTTTTCATTTTTTATTACCAGGTTGATGTTTATATATCAAGTGTGAGCTTTTGCATGTTCTCTAAATACTCTAACACATTCTTTTCATTCTCTGTAATTCAGACAACAGAAAGCCTACATCGCTACCCAGGGGCCCTTGGCAGAGACCACTGAAGACTTCTGGCGGATGCTCTGGGAACACAATTCCACCATCGTTGTGATGCTCACCAAGCTGCGTGAAATGGGCAGAGTAAGTGTGTGGCCCTTGTGTCTCTCCTCATAAGACATGTACTCTATGGAGAAATGAAGACTTTGTTTTAATAACTCTTGTGCTAGTGTCATTTTTTTGGAAATGCAGTGGACTCTGGACACGATCCAGACCATCGTTCCTTGTTAGTTTCTAAATTTGTAAAGCCACATCAAGTTTTAAAATTTCCGTGTTTTAAAGAAAGATCCAGTGATTTGTTTCCAGTGAAGCACAAACATAGAGACAAATGAGTAGCAGGTGACCCTGTTTGACTTATGTCTGACTCTCAGCATTTTCTTACTGCCTTTTGTTCTGGACATGCTAGAGTTTGATGTGCCATCATTTCTCTGTATGAGGGAACTTGAGTTTCTTTTCTTCCTGTGGCAAATTCTTACTTGCCTACCTTTCACCCCCATTGAATAAAGTGTTGGAAAGTGACGTAATTTTTCTAAGGATATAACCCAGTCATCCCAGATCCACTTTTTAAAAAATGTGGGTTTTTTGGGGGAAATACACATGAAATAGTATTAGAAATATTTAAGGTTTCTATTATTTATTAATATTACTCTACTCTACTATTATGACCTAATATTATTTAGAGATACCTCTTAGATTGACTTCATGTAAGCATTTTTTCATATTTGCCTCAGATATTTTCTTTCTGTCTTCTTTGTGTCAATTAAATAGAAGTGCAGCTAAAGCCCAACTTTTAGAGCCCCCAGAGAGAACAAAAAGAATATCAGACTAGGAAAGTAACTGACTTACTCTGATGTGGTCACTGACTCTGCAGGGTTTAGCCAAGTCATTAAGATGGCCTGGGCCCCCCTGTTTCCTTGACAAGTAAGATTGGAACAAATCAATTCAGACGTTTCTATGCCCATACTGATGGTTCTCTTAATTCCAAACCGTAGTGGTGCAATGTATTGTTGTCATGGCCAGCATTGTCCAAGGACTGATGTAATTATTTGGATAACTTGTAGGTGTGAAGATGCTTACCGTATCAAAGTATTCAATTCAACTCGTGTATATTAAGCAGCTACTATCTGCCAGGTACTGTGCTGGATCCCATGGGCAAATACTGAACCAAAGGGTTTCCCTATGAAGGGAGCTCATGGTTTCAAAGACAAAATGAGTCATATACAATTGGAATTGCCTTGAATTTTGAAACTTTATTAATGGGATAAGGAAATTAGATAGATAGATAGACAGACAGACAAAATGTTTTTTATACTTTGCATAGTTTAACATTAATCTTCTCTCCTTTTAGGAGAAATGTCACCAATACTGGCCAGCAGAACGGTCTGCAAGATACCAGTACTTTGTTGTAGATCCCATGGCTGAGTACAACATGCCACAGTACATCCTAAGGGAATTCAAGGTCACAGATGCCAGGGTAAGTTGGCACAGTCTTCAACTCTTAACCATTAGCTAAAAAGTAGTCTAAGATACCTCTCTCTGGGAGAAGTATTTGACTGTCGTCCCAAAGTGAAATCACTCATTCTGGAGAACATTTTTTTTTTTTTTTAAATATGTAAGAGTAACTTTTCCTCTGTCTGGCAAGCTTTCTCCCAAACCTTAGTTTGGCTTTCATTCAAACATAACATCTGGCAGCTCAACCTTGGGGATGCACTTGGTGAGTGTTTGTGCTGGGAAGTTTTTACTGATTGGTTGGCTGTGCTTACATTCACCTTCTCAGCTCATTCTCTTTGGAGCTTTTTTGACTTCTTCATTACTTGAGGCTGTAAATATGTTGTTGTTTTGCAAAGCCCTTTAGGTCATATGGACCTAGAGGTTAATTTGGTATGATTTTAAAACTGCAGAGCAAATGGCATTCTTTAGAAAAATCTGACAAGCTCTGCACATTCTAATTTGATTCCTGGCATGGCTTATTCCTCAGTGTGCTAATGTGTCTGTCCATGAGAGCTGTGATCCCGTGACCCTTGTTGGCTAATTTTCATTCTGCATTTCTTATCTGGATTGTTGAGTCCAAGGTTCAGCCCTGATGTAAGATGTTCTATGCATAAACTCTAATATCTTTGCCTTTGGCCACTTTCAACCCATAATTACAAACACATCTTAAGGGAGAACAGGTCAGTTCAAAACCTGCCTTGTGTTTGGAACTGTCATAGTGGGTGGGTTGAATAAAACTCTAGGGTAGATCTATTTAGTTGATCCATTGTTTTTTCTGGAAAGCAGCTTTCTCCAAATTTATGTTTGGAGATTGTCTGCTAATCACCAAAGCCTGGCCCTGGCTGTTGACCTTAAGTGAGAGAGAAATTGGTTAGCAGGAGGGTTAGCCTCGGTGACCGACCTGTTAATCCCAGAAAGTTGTATTAACTATTCTGAATGTGACTGTATTCAAGGCAGCAGTTAAATCTCTAGGTCTTGAGTGTGACCCGCCCCATTGTTTAAAAAAACAGTACTCTTTCAGAATTTGAATCTAGGTATGTGAGTGAAAATAGAAAGTGCATTCTGAGTAAACTCACCAACTATTTATTCCTGGTGATAAAAAGAGACCAGACCCCACCAATGGCAGAGACGCCTTTCCTACTCCACACATGCCCAACTTAAATCTGATCACAATAAACACAAGAAGATTGAAACCAGAAATTGCTCACCGTTTTTGTTAAGTCTCCCTGTGATTGTCATCTCAACTTCCCAGTTTAGGAAGCAATTTGGAACTTGAGAATAGAGTATTTTTTTTTTTTCCTTTCTTTTTTTTAAAAAAAAAAATAATACTTTAACTTATGGGATACATGTACAGAATGTGCAGGTTTTTACATAAGTATATACGTGCCATGGTGGTTTGGTATACCATCAACCATCATCTACATTAGGTATTTCTCCTAATGCTGTCATTCCCCAAGCCCCCAACCCCACAAAAGGCCCCAGCGTGTGATGTTCCCCTGCCTGTGTCTATGTGTTCTCATTGTTCAACTCCCACTTTTGAGTGCAGCATTTGGTTTTCTGTTCCTGTGTTACTTTGCTAAGAATGATGGTTTCCAGCTTCATCCATGTCCCTGCAAAGGACATGAACTCATCCTTTTTTATAGAATACTCACCATAGTATTCTATGGTGTATATGTGCCACATTTTCTTTATCCAGTCCATCATTGATGGACATTTGGGTTGATCCCAAGTCTTGGCTATTGTGAGCAATGGTATATTAACATATGTGTGCATGTGTCTTTATAGTAGAATGATTTTATAATCCTTTGGGTATATACTCAGTAATGGGATTGCTCGGTCAAATGATATTTCTGGTTCTAGATCCTTGAGGAATCACCAAACTGTCTTCCACAATGGTTAACTAATTTACACTCCCACCAACAGTGTAAAAGTGTTCCTATGTCTCCACATCCTTTCCAGCATCTGTTGTTTCCTGACATTTTAATGATCACCATTCTAATTGGTGTAAGATGGTATCTCATTGTGGTTTTGATTTGCATTTCTCTAACGACCGTTGATGGTGAGCAGTTTTTCATGTTTGTCGGCTGCATAAATGTCTTCTTTTGAGAAGTGTCTGTTCATATCCTTTGCCTACTTGTCGATGGGGTTGTTTTTTTCTTGTAAATATAACTTCTTTGTAGATTCTGGATGTTAGTCCTTTGTCAGATGGATAGATTATGAAAATTTTCTCCCATTCTATAGGTTACCTGTCCACTTTGATGGTAGTTTCTTTTGCTGTGCAGAAGCTCTTTAATTAGATCCCATTTGTCAATTTTGGCTTTAGTTGCCATTGCTTTTGGTGTTTTAGTCCTGAAGTCTTTGTCTATGACTGTGTCTTGAATGGTACTGCCTGGGTTGTCTTCTAGGGTTTTTATGGTTTTAGGTCTTAGGTTTAAGTCTTTAATCCATCTTGAGTTAATTTTTGTATAAGGTAAGGATCCTGTTTCAGTTTTCCCAACACTATTTATTAAATAGAGAAGCCTTTCCCCATTGTTTTTCCTCAGGTTTGTCAAAGATCAGATGGTTGCAGATGTGTGGCATTATTTATGAGACCTCTGTTCAGTTCCATTGGTCTGTATATCTGTTTTGGTAGCAGTACCATGCCGTTTTGGTTACTGTAGCCTTGTAGTGTCCTTTGAAGTCAGGTAGCATGATGCCTCAAGCCTTGTTCTTTTTGCTTAGGATTGTCTTGGCTATGGGGGCTTATTGGTTCCACATCAAATTTAAAGTAGATTTTTCCCATTCTGTGAAGAAAGTCAATGGTAGCTCGATAGGGATAGCATTGAATCTATAAGTTACTTTGGGCACAATAGCCATTTTCATAATATTGATTCTTCCTATCCATGAGCATGGGATAGTTTTCCATTTGTTTGTATCTCCGCTTATTTCCTTGAGCAGTGGTTTGTAGTTCTTGAAGAGGTCCTTCACATCCCTTGTAAGTTGTATTCCCAGGTATTTTATTCTCTTTGTAGCAATTGTGAATAGGAGTACACTCATGATTTTGCTATTATTTGTGTATAGGGATGCTTGTGATTTTTGCACATTCATTTTGTATCCTGAGATTTCGCTGAAGTTGCTTATCAGCCTGAGGAGATTTTGGGCTGAGACGATGGGGTTTTCTAAATATACAATTCTGTCATCTACCATCAGGGACCATTTGACTTTCTCTGTTCCTATTTGAATGTCCTTTATTTCTTTCTCTTGCATGATTGCCCTGGCCGGAACTTCCAGTGCTGTGTTGAATAGGAGCAGTGAGAGAGGGCATCCTTGCCTTGTGCCAGTTTTCAAAGGGAGTGCTTCCAGTTTTTGCCCATTCATTATGATAGTGGCTGTGGGTTTATCATAAATAGCTCTTCTTATTTTGAGATACGTTCCATCAATACCTAGTTTATTGAATAGAGTTTTTAGCACGAAGGGCTGTTGAATTTTGTCCAAGGCCTTTTCTGCATCTATTGAGATAATCATGTGGTTTTTGTCATTGGTTCTGTTTATGTGATAGATTACGTTTATCGAGATCCATATGTTGAACCAGCCTTGCATCCCAGGGATGATACCAACTTGATCATGGTGGATAAGCTTTTTGATGTGCTGCTGGATTTGGTTTGCCAGTATTTTATTGAGGATTTCTGCATCGATGTTCATCAGGGATATTGGCCTGAATTTTTTTTTGCTGTGTCTCTGCCAGGTTTTGGTATCAGGATGATGCTGGCCTCATAACATGAGTTAGGGAGCATTCCCTCTGTTTCTATTGTTTGGAAAAGTTTCAGAAGGAGTGGTACCGGCTCCTGGTACCGGCTCCTGTTTGTACCTCTGGTAGACTTCTGTGAATCCAGCTGGTCCTGCACTTTTTTTGGTTGCTAGGCTATTAATTACTGCCTCAATTTCAGAACTTGTTATTGGTCTATGCAGAGTTTTGACTTCTTCCTGGTTTAGTCTTGGGAGGGTGTATGTGTCCAGGAATTTATCCATTTCATCTAGATTTTCTACTTTATTTACATAGAGGTGTTGATAGTATTCTCTGATGGTAGTTTGTATTTCTGTGGGGTCAGAGGTGATTTCCCCTTTGTCTTTTTTTATTGTGTCTATTTGAGTCTTCTGTCTTTTCTATCTATTTTGTTGATCTTTTCCAAAAGCCAACTCCTGGATTCATTGAGTTTTTGAAGGGTTTTTCGTGTCTCTATCTCCTTCAGTTCGGTTCTGTTCTTAGTTATTTCTTGTCTTCTGCTAGCTTTCAAATTTGTTTGCTCTTGTTTCTCTAGTTCTTTTAATTATAATGTTAGGGTGTCAAGTTTAGATCTCTCCTGCTTTCCCTTGTGGGCATTTAGTGCTATAAATTTCTCTCTACACACTGCTTTAAATGTGTCCCAGAGATTCTGGTACATTGTGTCTTTGGTCTCATTGGTTTCAAAGAACATCTTTATTTCTGCCTTCATTTTGTTATTTACCCAGTAGTCATTCAGGAGCAGCTTGTTCAGCTTCCATGTAGTTTTGTGGTTTTGAGTGAGTTTCTTAATCCTGAGTGAGTTCTATGAGTGAGTTCTAATTTGATTGCACTGTGGTCTGAGAGACCATTCGTTATGATTTCCGTTTTATTGCATTTGCTGAGGAGTGTTTTACTTCCAATTATGTGGTCAACTTTAGAGTAGGTGCAGTGTGGTGCTGAGCAGAATGTATATTCTGTTGATTTGGGGTGGAGAGTTCTGTAGAAGCTTATTAGGTCTGTTTAGTCCAGAGCTGAATTCAAGTCCTGAATGTCCTTGCTAATTTTCTGTCTCATTGATCTATTGACAGTGGGATGTTAAAGTCTCCCACTATTATTGTGTGGGCGTCTAAGTCTCTTTGTAGGGCTCTAAGGACTTGCTTTATGAATCTGGGTGCTCCTGTATTGGGTTCACATATATTTAGGATAGTTAACTCTTCTTGTTTCATTGATCTCTTTGCTGTTTTGTAATGGCCTTCTTTGTTGTTGGTTTAAAGTCAGTTTTATCAAAGACTAGGATTGCAACCCCTGCTTTTTTTTGCTTTCCATTTGCTTGGTAGATCTTCCTCCATCCTTTTATGTTGAGCCTATGTGTGTCTCTGCATGTGAGATGGGTCTCCTCAATACAGCATGCTGATGTGTCTTGACTCTATCTTGCCAGTCTGTGTCTTTTAATTGGGGGCATTTATCCCATTTACATTGAAGGTTAATATTGTTATGTGTGAATTTGATTCTGTCATTATGATGCTAGCTGGTTCCTTTGCCTGTTAATTTGATGCATTTTCTTTATAGTGTCAATGCTCTTTACAATTTGGTATGTTTTTGCAGTGGCTGGTACCAGTGTTTCCTTTCCATATTTAGTGCTTCCTTCAGGAGCTCTTGTAAGGCAGGCCTGGTGGTGACAAAAATCTCTCAGCATTTGCTTGTCTGTCTCTCCCTTGCTTATGAAGCTTAGTTTGGCTGGATATGCAGTTCCGGGTTGGAAATTACAGTATTGTTAAACAGATAACCTTTAAAGAAAGTCAGTCAGTCTTTCCTCCAAATAGAAGGAATTCGTACACATGAGTCAGAAATGAAATCCCCAGGACATTCAGAGGAGAATAAATCTGTATTACCTAGCCTCTGAGTCTCCGTCCTGTGCTTTCCAAATCTTTTCCAGAGACAGAGGGGAGTAAATCATGCTTCCATGGTAACCATCCATAAGGTACTTGTGGGTCCAAATAGTTTTCTCTGTTTCTCAGGATTCCCACACACTTGGTGTCATCTTCCTGTTTTACCTCCATCCCCAAATAACGTCAGTCAGGAATCTGGCATGTACCTGTGAAAACCACCAAGCAAGGTGATGAGTGCTCATCTCACGTTGAGATCCTTTCTCTTCTCAATATGAGTAATGATAAATATTGAGTCCCTGTTCACTTACCCAGAACCTTGGGAACATGCACACATGTATCTAAAACAACTTTGATGGGGAAATATGTGTTAACAAAGATGGAAAGGAGGAACAAGTTGAAGCCTCTCTAATGAGAAGAGACCATTTAGGAGTGGGACCTCTTCAAGTGAGTTCAGTCTCTCTAAGCTTGGATTATTTCTGTCCGCTAATGAGTCAGGGGAGAAGGTTGATGGGCAGTGTATCATTCCTGCTTCTATAAACAGAGGTTCCTTTCCACTTTTCTTGTGCTTCTAGAAACACCTTAAAATTCCACAAGGAATCAGAAATGCCTTAGTGTCTTCTTTTCAACCCAGATGTACTTCATGAGTCAGAGCAGTTTTACCTAATCACTCTGAAAAAGAAAAACTGCTCTTGCATCTGGCTTTTTTTTCTACCTTTTGGTTTATCTATGTTAAAGTCCCTCACAGACTGTTAATTCCTGTGGTCAGCCAGGGCGAGCTCTTTTTCAGAAAGGGGCATTTGTTTGCTAGTGGTCCTTGGTATCCTTGAGGGATGCTTTATTTCCCACTTAACAGCACAGTCACATGGTTCATGCTATGTCCCCTGCCATGGCTAGAAATTGTATTCCTCTGAGACATGGGGGGCATCCAGGTTAACAGCAACTACTGGGTTTGTGTCAGATCCTTTAAATGTCACCATTTGTCATTTGACAATGTTAGAAATATGCCAGCACAGCAGATGTGAAGTTATCATGACAACTGCAAAAGCTCTGGTCTGGATGCCATGCCTGGGTGCTTGTTTCAATATTACAAAGTGATAAGTTTCTGAAATTTTTAAAATGGAGTATGTATGTTCCATTTTGGAAAGAACGCAGACATGATCAATGGTTACGAACCCAAACTTTGGGTCTCAGAAGCATTTGCTAATGTGGGAACTATGTGGCTATTTACTAACGAGAACCAGGTTTTTAACTGGACACTGCGAGAGTAAATAAATTTGTGATTTAAAGGTATGTGAGTATGGACAATATTCATAGCATATGCACTAAGTTTCTAGTTAAACATGTTCCTAACTTTTTCTACCCTTTTTGTTTTTGGGAAATAAAAATGCTCTTGTGGTCTGTGCGCTTGCTGAATCCTCCTGGCGTCTTCCTTTGTGGCCGGGTATGTGGCTTTCCTTCTAAAGGACGGCCAGTCCCGAACAGTAAGGCAGTTCCAGTTCACTGACTGGCCAGAACAAGGAGTGCCAAAGTCCGGAGAAGGATTTATTGACTTCATCGGCCAGGTCCATAAAACAAAAGAACAGTTTGGCCAAGATGGACCCATTTCGGTCCATTGCAGGTAAGTTACAGTTCAAGAAGGGTAAGTTTCCATTTGTGATTAAAGCGGTGATGATAACTGTGAAAATAAGTGTTGGTGGTTCTTCATTGTACACACTTTTTGTATAAGTTTGCTTATTTGAAATATTATTCTTGGAAATGTATTATGAAACAAAGCAGGTTTGATTTCTCTTTTCATACTCAGAGGAAAACGTTTATCCCCAAAATTTGCTTCCTGTTAGACAAACCAGATTACCAATTTTACCTTAATAGGAATCGTTGGTACCTCCCCTAGTAATAATTTGTTGTGTTAATCATTTCATATTTGCTTTTGCTTTCATAGCAATGCATTGATAACAATCTTTCTCCTGTGTTTGTCTTTGTGAAAAACTCATGAATAGCTATCAAACCTTAATGACAATACTAATTCCTGCCAGTCAATAAGTGCTTAGTATGGTACCTCAGTTAAAAATGCAATTTGCTTGAAAATTGTTGCTATATCAGAAAATGAAGTACCTTCAAGTTAATTATTTTCAATAGTTTCTAGAGCATTTTATAACTCAAGTCATTGAAGTTAATAGAAACAGCAAGTAAATGGTTCAGACATTCACCGTAAATTTAGTGTTTTTGGAAGTTGCTGTGCAAAAACCTTCTAACAAAAGGAATTCACCACCTAATTTTATTTAAACTAATATACTTTAGGATTCTAGCAACTTGACATCTAAATTGCTAATCTTTTTATGGTGAAACTCTTGAGAGAGTTTATTTTGCTTCAGCACATCAAAGAAAAGTATAGTTCTCAAAGAAAACTATAGTTCTTAATGACATAGAAAGCAGGATCTCAAAACGGGCCAAATATTAGACTTGGGCCAAGATACCTCTGTGTTCCAGTCTCAATTCTATTATTTGGCTCTATGATAATGCAGTTTCTCTGGACCGCAGTTATCTTAGCTGATGTTTACAGAAGTCCTTTCTAGCATCCTTTGTTTCTCAGGCATGTTATGAGAAGCAAACCTTTATGTACATTTTCTTTCTAATGAGTCATTAAACATCCTTTGCATACCAACCAAAGAGCATGTAGGAAATCATACTGACCGTCAAGGAGAGCTGGAAAGACGGCCGAATAGGAACAGCTCTGGTCTGCTGCTCCCAGTGAGACTGACACAGAACGCAGGTGATTTCTGCATTTCCCATTTCATCTCACTGGGACTGGTTGGACAGTGGGTGCAGCCCACAGAAGGTGAGCCGAAGCACAAGGGGTCAAGGGATTTCCCTTTCCTAACCAAGGGAAGTCGTGAGAGACTGTACCGCAACCATACACTCAGGCCCAGATACTGCGCTTCTCCCACAGTCTTTGCAACTGGTAAGCCAGGAGATTCCCTCCAGTGGTGCCTGGCTTGGCAGGTCCTACCCCTACAGAGCCCAGCAAGCTGAGATCCACTGGCTTGAAAATGTCACTGCTAGCACAGCAGTCTGAGGTCTACCTGGGACACTCAGCTGGGTGAAGGGAGGGGCGTGTGCCATTGCTGAGGCCTGAGTAGGCTGTTTTCCCCTCACAGGGTAAACAAAGCCGCCAGGAAGTTCGAAATGGGCTGAGTCCACCACAGCTCGGCAAGGCCGACTGCCCCTCTAGATTAGATTACTCCTCTCTGGGTGGGGCATCTCTGAAAAAAAGACAGCAGCCCCAGTCAGGGACTTACAGATAAAACCCCCATCTCACTGGGACAGAGCACCTGGGGGAAGGGGCAGTTGTGGGCGCAGCTTCAGCAGACTTACTTAGCAGTCCCCACCTGGCCGCTCTGAAGAGAGCATCTCTTCTCCCGCTGCAGTGTTCCAGCTCTGATTGATAAGGCACAGACTCTCTACTCAAGTGGGTCCCTGACCCCCATGTATCTTGACTGGGAGACACTTCCCAGTAGGGGCTGACAGATACCTCATACAGGAGAGCACTGGCTGGCACCTGGCAAGTGCCCCTCTGGGACGAAGCTTCCAGAGGAAGAAATAGGCAGCAATCTTTGCTGTTTTGCAGCCTCTGCTGGTGATACCCAGGCAAACAGGGTCTGGAGTGGACCTCTAGCAAAACTGCAGCAGAGAGTCCTGTTAGAAGAAAACTAACAGAAAGGAATAGCACGTCCACCCAGAGAACCCCCCTACCTGAAGGTCACCAACATCAAAGGCCAAAGATAGATAAATCCACGAAGATGGGGAAAAACCAGCACAAAAAGGCTGAAAATTCCAAAAACCAGAACGCCTCTCCTCGCCAGCAAGGGAACACAATTGGACAGAGAATGAGTTTGACAAATTGACAGATGTAGGGTAAAAACAAACTCCTCCAAGCTAAAGGAGCATGTTCTAACCCAATGCAAGGAAGAATGCAAGGAAGCTAAGAACTTTGAAAAAAAGTTAGAGGAATTGCTAACTAGAGTAACCAGTTTAGAGAATGACCTGATGGAGCTGAAAAACACAGCACGAGAACTTCGCGAAGCATACACAGGTATCAATAGCTGAATCAATCAAGTGGAAGAAAGGATATCAGAGATTGAAGGTCAACTCAATGAAATAAAGTATGAAGACAAGATTAGAGAAAAAAGAGTGAAAAGACATGAACAAAGCCTCCAGGAAATACGGGACTATGTGAAAAGACCATATTTACGTTTCATTCGTGTACCTGAAAGTAGTGTTCACAGTATTTCCTTAATTTGAATGTTGGCCTGTCTTGCTAGGTTGGGGAAGTTCTTCTGGATAATATCCTGAAGAGTTTTCTCCAACTTCGTTCCATTCTCCCCTTCACTAAGATATTCCTCAGGAAGAGCAACCCCAAGCCACATAATCATCAGATTCACCAAGGTTGAAATGAAAGAAAAAATGTTAAGGGCAGCCAGAGAGAAAGGTCGGCTTGCCCACAAAGGAAGCATATCAGACTAACAGTAGATCTCTCAGCAGCAACCCTACAGGCCAGACGAGAGTGGGGGCCAATATTCAACATTCTTAAAGAGAAGAATTTTCAACCCAGAATTTCATATCCAGCCAAACTAAGCTTCATAAGTGAAGGAGAAATAAAATCCTTTACAGAAAAGCAAACGCTGAGAGATTTTGTCACCATCAGGTCTGCCTTCCAACAGCTCCTGAAGGAAGC